TAGTGGAGGGACTGAGGATGGACTTGGCAGATGTGAGTGTGAATGTGTTTGGCTGAGAGAATATGATTCAGGAAAAGACAGCGTGCAGCCTCAGCAAAGTTTTGAGAAGTCATTTTTTTTTCAGCCTCTCTTTGATACGTGATACAATGTTCTTTAAAACACAGTGACAACCCGCTCTCTCTCTCTATCTCTCTCTCTCTACCTCGTTCTCCTTCTGTTGCCTGCCGTCTGCACATCTTTCCATCCTCTGCTCACCAACCTATGACTCATTATTCCTCTCTTGTTGTGTGTCTGTGTGTGTGTGTGTGCTTACATTAGTATACTGTAGGTGTGTGTGTCCACGTTCATGCACACTTACTGTCCCCACGTTTTACAGTTCAAATGTCCTAACCTAAAAGATAAAAACCTCCAAAAATGCTTTTTTTTTTTTTATCTATCTCTGCATTGTCTGCAGTGTGTGTGTGTGTGATTATTTGTTGGGCGGCTTTTGTGTGTGTGTTTTTCACACATGAATGCTCATCAGTAACAGATGGTCCTCAAACCTGTGTGCTTATTTAGTCGGGATGGAGAGATAGGTGAGGAAGAGAAAGGGAGGGATGGAGGGAATAAGGTAAATACAGGGAATGATAGCAGAGAGGGGGGGAGAAAAAGGCAGATGGACGAGAGGGAGGGGGGAGGGGGGGCGATGAATGGATTAGGAAGAGCAAGAAGGAGATTCGTGGAGAGAATTTAACCGAGAAAGAGAGGAGGAGGAAGGAGGAGAGAATACAGGAGGAGCTCACTACACTCAGGAGTCCTATACAACTTTAACTTTAATGAAGAGAGAGGGAGAGAGAGGCAGAGGGAGGGAGGGAGGAATGGCACTTTTCCTCTTTTATTCATTTACAAAGTGTGCATTTTACAGTGGAAAGAAATAAGAGGCGCGAGAGAGAGATTTGAAACTGAAGGAAGCGGAGGGGTTAGTTCTCCCTCTCTTCCTACAAGGCTGTGATTGTGTGAATTTTCTCTCCACTTTCTCCCTCCCTCAGTGTGTGTGTGTGTGCGTGTGTGTGGAGTGCTATGGTAGCCATGTCTTTCCTTATAAGGAGTGGGTTTGGGAAGAGTTAGTGAGGAATGAACAGAATTACAGTGCAGTCACTCCCCCTTTTTCTTCTGCTGCTTTTATTTCTACTCTGCCCTTCTAAAATGTATCTATATATCTATATCTATAGATATAGATATATAGATAGCGGTCTATCTGCTGGTTCCGAGAGCTTGACGTCTGTAATGTGTTAATGTCAAATAAGCGTGACAGATGCAATGTTTCTTTAAACCCACTCCTGTACTGTACTGACCCTGATGTTGCATCTCAAAGTGACTGATTAGGGTCAGAATCTCCCTTTCTCTTTCTCCTCTCTCTGCTATTTATTCATTCATTCTCTCCATCGTGTAATCTCTTTCATCCGTTCTTATTCTCGTCTTCCTTCTTATACACAATCTGATACTATTTTCTTCCATCGGCTTGCTCTCCGTCTTTTGAAAAACAAGGGATTTTCTCGTGTTTCTTCTGCTCATTCCTCTCCTTTTTTAAATTGTATTTCATCCTCTACATTATGTTCTTTATCCTCAAGCTTTATCCTTCGAGAAAGAAGAGAGAGAGAGGGAGAGAGAGAGAGAGAGAGAGAGAGAGAGAGAGAGAGAGAGAGTGTGTTAATCTGCCTGTTGTCTGAACCTGAGTGGGCGAAACTCACGGTCATTACGACCGCTGCCTCCAACATTACGTCTGGCTGTGGGCATTATTGTGCTCTGTGTGTGTTTGTATGTGTTTCATCTCACAGTGTGTGTCTGTTTGTGAGAGGGGGGGGGGGGAGCGTGACTCACCCGTTGAGCGCAGAATAATCGAGGGATGAGAGGGAGGAGTAATAACGGAGAGATGGTTAATATTGAATGACAGATGAGCAGTGGCCTGAGGGGGGGATGACAAGCGGATGTAAAAATTGTCACCATCGTCGCAAACGGATTTTCTCTTCTTTTTATTTTAGAATTCTGTAGAATGCTCATTAGAATAAACAAGGGATCGTTCATTTGTTAAGATTAGATGTGTCTTTCCTTTGCTTTACTAAATTCAATCCTATCCTGTCGCTACGAATTCATGTTTTTGTTTTGTTTCTTGCAACAATTATTTTCCTGCTTCCATAGTAACACATTGTGTCCCTTATATGAAATGACATACACCTTTAGAGTCAGATGTTGATGAAGGGAGCTTGTTCTTTTTTTTTTAATAACTTTGTGTTTTAAGTTTCCACGGATAGTATTTACATTTCATTATGACATCTGAGGAGTTGACCGACATGTCTCATACGTAAATAAATAACATTCAGACAGTTAAAGACAAAATTCACAAGTTTTGTTTTGTTTGAACGTCGCTGGGATCCAGATCATTTCCTGTCTTGAGCTGGTTTACGTCAGCTTGAATGTATCCGTCCCTCCCTTAGACATCTGATTTGTTGTTTGTGTGTTAGTACACAGTTCACATTTATTTCTCCTTCTTCCGATGTTCCTATACGTTATTTTTCAATACAATATTTCGTAACGTTGTTTGCTCAGCGTGCTGTCGCTGTGTCCATCTCACAGTGTCACATGTGACCGCGTGTTTGCATGTCTGTCTCCGTTTTGAGTGGCGACCCCGACCTCTGCAATCAGGAGGCGTCTGACGGGGTCAAAGGGGAGGAAGTAAAAGACGACTCAGCAGAAACCGAGAAGAAAAACACAACTTGTATTCCGACCCTGTCTCTCTCTCTCCTCCTCTTCTCATCCCTTCTTCTGTTTCTGCTGGACACAATCAACGTGTTGTTTTCGCTGCCTTCTCCTCATCTCCCTCTCTGTTTTTGTTTCCTGCTTCCTTTTTGTATCTCACTCCCTCTTTTCCTCCTTTCTCGCCTATGGTCTGGCATTTCTCAGCTCTACATTCCAGCAGAGTGTGTGTGTGTTGGGAGGGAGTAACGTAACTGGCACAAGCCTCTGTGTGTGTGTGTGTGTGTGTCTATGTGTGTGTGTGAGAATCTGAATTCTTAAAATGTAAACCTTTGAAGTTGTGTGTTGACACTGTATTTGCTTGACTTTAGCGACACACTGATATGCATTTCAGTGAGCAAGAGGTATTTTAGTTGTCATGGAGAACCAGAGAGGGAAAAGATTATCCGTCTGTCTGTCTGTCTGTCTGTTTATGAATGTCAGCCATCAACACACAAGTGTGAAGAGCTATTGTATGAGTCAGCAGACAAACCCACAAGGAAACAAACGCGGTACTCTAATAAGAAGAGAAAAGACTTTGTGTTTTATTGCTATATTGTGTACATCTGTCTCAATGGAAATATAAAATTGAACAGAACAAGACAAAGCAGGAGACACCACCCTGGCTGTCGTGCAACATGAAGCAGCTACTGTATCAAAAGACAGTTACTTTGGTATTATCCTAGTACCTTTCATCCCGTCCTCTGTTTGTGAGAGAATAAAGTGTGTTTGTGATCACTATCTTCTCCTTTCTTTTATATCCAAGAACAGTTCTTCTCATCCATCTCTTTCTCTGTTCCTTTAATCTTGTTCTCTCCCTCAATGTTGATTAACGATAGCTGCAAGGGAGCGATAGCATCTCTGCCTTTTTTAACCTTCTTACCTTTCTATTTGAATCTCCCGTTCACTTCCACTCTCATCCATGCACTTCTCCCTCAGCACCGTGCTACCTGTGTTCTTGTATGGCCTGGCTGTTGTTCAGGTTATGTGTGACGCATTTTACAAAAGCCTGAGGACATCATAGTGACCACACACACACACACACACACACACACACACACACACACACACACAC